CTGGCTGCGCACGTAGATCTGGGCCAAGGCCGTGAAGTAAGCGGGCTCCTGGCCGGGGAAACCGAAAACAGCCGGGGAAACCGGAGCCAGGAGGCAGCCGGGGAGGGCAGGGGAAACCGGAGGCAGGGAGCTTGAGCTTCGCTTCACAGCTTCACGGCTTCCCACTTTCCCCTCTCTGCAGGTGTCACCCCTTGCCTTCGGCTGCTCCGACAAGCCCAGGTCGTCTTTGCCCACGCGCGTGAGCGAGGAGACATCGATGGGCCCCGCGGCGGACGGCGCTGCATTCGACATCGTGGCACACCAAGGAAGGAACGAAGGAAGAAAGTGCCCGTTCACACTTCTACATCTATCCTTCCTCCTTGAGGTATCCGAGTCACCGGCAGACGAGCAGACGCGACACAAGACTGACTGGTCTCCTACACCTTCTGCCTGCAGATGCCTGCAGATGCCTGCAGCCTGGAGGATTGGAATGCGAAACCCTGCCGGCGATGCGGGCTCTTTCGACGAGGTTGGAGGCTGGCATTAGCCAAGCCCGAGCTGAGCTCGGATTCGCCTCTCCACTTCTGGCAGCAGCCTAACAGCATGCGAGAGACGCAAACCATCGAAGTCCTGCTGGCCCGCCGTCGCTCCCGTCGCTCCCCGTTTCCTTTGCGGCTCTTCCGGCTCCGCCTCGCTGGCCGCCTGGCTGTGGTAGGCCAGCAACCGGCGCAGCCAGACATCCTCTGCCTCTGTCCGCTGCAAGACCTGACTCACATCCGCGCTCTGAAACCAAATCCTCTTTTCCTTATGAGAGTACGAACTGTACGAACCCAAAGTTACTACAAGCTCTGGGACAAATACCACTGCCCTTTCCTTTCGCCGTGCCTTCTGCAGCGCTTCGCGGTGCTTCGGGTCTCGGGCAACGAGAACACAGAGCTGTAGATCCTTCAAATGCCTGGAGATGATTTGCAAAGCCTCTTCGCAGCTACCAGCCAGCAGAAACAATGCGGCTGCCAGATGAAAACGGTGCAGCTCCAGCAGGCGGAAAGCATTCTTCCGCAGGAACGCAGGCTCGTTTGCCCTCTCGTGACTCAGCAGTGTCCACAGCTGCCCGCCTTGGCCTTCCTTGAAGAGCCCGGTCTTGCAGAGCGCCCGCAGTTTTGGAGCTGTGGCACCCAACACCACGGACCAGAAGACCGCCTCGTCCACGGCCAACTTCCGTGCCACCTTTCGACAGAACAAGAGAGAAACAAGATAGAAAAGACTTCTGCGAGAGTCTACGTCTTCACTCAATTTGCACAGGCGTTGACTTCGTCTCTTTGGCATGTTTCGTTCTTGTGCCTGTTCTTGCTCCTCCGGAGCCCGGCCCCAAACGCCGGCATCGAAGGTGGCCACAGAGCTTTGCGATTGCCTTGCGACCGCCAGCGAAAGCGAATGGCTGCTGCTGCTTCGCAGCTTGGCCATGGAGGCCTGCGCGAGTCTCGTGACGATCTGATCCAACGCCGACCCCCACCAGCCCACGCCGGTCGCCCGCATCATCTGCCAGCAGGACGGTGACCTTAGCCGTTGCATCCGTTGCATCATGCCTGCAGATGCTTGCATCATGAGCATCATCTCTCCACTCAGGCCGGGGCCCGGGAACGAGGACCCAGTTTTCCAACAGCAACGGCTTTTGTTGTGCCACAAGGCCCCAGAGGACGTCCGCTGTCGCGGGCCCCAGAAACGGGCCCTGATGGAAGAAGCGAGGGACTGGTGTCGCTGGGCCCTGCGGGGCGCTCTCCTCCAAGCAGCGGAACTTCTGCCCCAGCTCGGAAGCGGCCAAAGCAAGGCACAGGCGTTCGGAGCCCGGGTCTGGTGAAGCAGCCAAAGCATCAGAAACTTTCCGCAGCTTCGGGAGCACGGTTTCTAAAATTTCCACGAGCGCTTTAACCCAGTCCGCGGCCTCTTCTGCTTTGGAAGCCTTGGACGATTCAACGTCCCCAACTTCCACCACTTCCAACGAGTTGCGTGAACCCCTGGACACGTCCTCTTTTGGAAGTGGGGGGGAAGCAGCGAAACATGTTTTAAATATCATAACGATTCAATCATTCAAAAAAGTCGAATCTCCTCCTGGTACCTGGCGAGCAACTGGTCGAGTTGCTCGCTGAAGCTTTCGGTCTCCTCAGCTGCACGACGACACACAAAACTTAGTTCCGCCCCCAATGTTTGCCCACAAATTTCTTTCTGCATCATGACCCTTATGATTACTAAGTCTACGTGGAAAACATCCGTCCATACCCCAACCATGTTGACGTCCGTGGTCCAATCCGTATTGCATAGACAACATGCTGGCACAACCATGATGACGTCCATGGGCTCATGCTTTGACTGAAAAACATCGACGGCCCAACCATACAGCATCCGCTGGTTCTGTTTACTTAGTTTCTTTAGCGACTGTCCTAAGCCTAGAAGCAAAAGGTGCAAGCGGACGCACTCTTTTTCGTCAGGGTATGCTCGGAATGCGTAAGTAAAGAAAGCTATGCTATGCTTTGCCGAGGCTTCCCCCGTCTACCTTCCCAGATGAGACGCATAATATGCGATGCTGGTAGGATATGCGATCTGAGGTTGTAAGCTGTGCTTGCGGCCGGTGCAATGGGAGTGGAGAGTGGGTGAAAAATTGAATGAATGCGACACGGCATGCAGCTTAGACCTGTCGCTGTGGGAACCGGTGCTAGGCGGCGCAAAGCTTACCTAGGAGCAACAAAACACACATGAACAGAAAAACACGTAGCGTTCTGTTTACTTAGTTTCCTTAGCGACTGTCCTAAGCCTAGAAGCAAAAGGTGCAAGCGGACGCACTCTTTTTCGTCAGGGTATGCTCGGAATGCGTAGGCAATCAAAGCTATGTGCTATGCTTTGAGGAGGTTTCCCCCACTTTAACTCCGAACATACCGCTGGACTGTACTACCCCCCGGCGTGCGGTTCAGGAGCGTCCTGGCAAGCGACCAAAAGTTCAGGCTCTAAAACAGCGACTCCTGCAGTTCACTAGCGTCCAGTTTTATGCATTCCAGCTGCGATGCCAGTCTGCGTCTGCAGGGTGCAAGTGCACTATGCCTACAAGCTCCGCTAAAAGTGCCAGTGGCATCGCAGAGCGTTCATCAATCGACGTACAAATCTTTCCAAGTGGCCACCAGCTTCAAGAAGTCACTGAGCGGTGGCGTGGTAGTGAGGAGTTTGTTGATGCCTGCAGCCGCACGTGTATTGTCGCATGCGGCCGGCAAAGAGAAACTCCAGTGCTTTGCCTGCTAGCATAGCCAGGGCCAAATTGAGCGAGTGTCTCAAAGCATGCGATATATTTCTGCGGTGTTTCTGCCAGTTGGGGCCATTTGCGTACTTCCGAAATATCCCACTGCTCTGCAAACCAGGCAAATTGTGTTGATGTACTTATCCAGCCTCCGACGCCAACCAAGTTGCCGTCCGCTCTGGCGTTTGCGCTGCCACGCAGTGCATTGGCGGATATTGCTTGAGTGATCGGACCCTGGATGTTGCAAAGCATTGCGACAGCCAAGTGAGTGCTGCCCTACTTTCATTTCTTAAGTGCAACTCGTTGCGGTTCGGGTTTTGCATCCGTACATTGCGGCTTATGAGATGGCGGGACCCTGGGTACAGAGCTTTTGCATGCGATTGCAATGCTTCCGACCTCCAGCAGTTTGGCTCCCAGAGGAAGCCACATGCCTGCTGCATGGTTCATGTTTGACCACTGCGTTGGCATCATACGATGCGTGTGTGCTACGCAGAGGGCCTTTGCCGCTGCGCAGGTCCCTATAGAGAGTTGCCAAGTAGGACCTGAGTTGAGTGCATGCGGTGGTTGCCCACATCAATAATCCCAGCGCTCGTTCGAGCAACTTGCGAGGGATCTTACTGCTGTGTGCGACCTCTTGCAGTTGCAACTGCAGCTTTTCCAATCTGCCAGCGGCCAGCTGCACAGTCTCGAAATCGAAGTTGAATGTCCATCCGCACCAAGTGATTTCGTACCAGGAGCAGGTCCCGGCCTTCTGCCATCACGATATTTAATTTCCGGATGGCGGTGCGTTGCGGCCAGCGAGCTTCTGCATCTGCAACCAGTGGCCGCCCGGTCTTCGATGCGATCCTGCACCCCAAGCCCGGCCTTAGTAGCAGCGCCTTCAAGCACACGTTGGCAGAAGAACAAAGACCACGACCAACCCATCGGCAGAGTGGCATACTCCGGAGTGACGTAGACGTAGTCGTTGCCACCGCAGCCTGCGGGCCAAAGGTGCCGCGCAAGGTACCGGCACTTGATAGCAGGGTGCCTGAAGTATCGCCGAAGGTGCACAGGAAGTTCCATGCGGCGAAAGGCGTCGGCAATGTCACCGGCCAGGCTGCTTGAGTGGGCAAATGTGCACACTTGGGTCGCCTGAAAAAAGTGCTAGCCTTCCGCGTGTCCAAGATCAGCCGAAGCTGACCAGTCACTTTCTTAAGAACAAAGAAAACACCGACAGTATGCTCGAAACGCCCTGGGACAAAACTCAACATACGTGACTCGTGGAGCCTGCTCAGAAAACTGCCCACACGAGCAGGAGAGTGAAACCGCAAAGAAGCTCTGAAGCGCCGGCCAGCGTCAACAGCTACCCACACTTTTAAACAGCCCCTCCAGTCGATCCAGAGCGGCAGCATGCGAGCCAAGCGGCGCTGTGCCACAAACCCCCCCCACTGGGCTTCCCATAAAGTTGGTTCAAAGTTTGGATGCCCTCATGCATCCGGGCAGCAGCAGCGAGCCTCCGGCTAATTCGTTGGCGAATGCCCCGCCCTAGACCATCCTTAATGATTCCAACCTCCCGACAAGAAGACGAAGGGGAAGCAGGTCCTGCTGCCTAAGCAGCTCAGCTGTGATTCGGGGCCCATGGCAGTACCAAAATTGCGTCCGCAAAGCAGCGGACTCAAAACCGCTGAAATGCAGCGAAGTCCAGCTCGCGAGCCTTTCTCTGCTCCTCGTTGGCTTGACTTTCCTTGCGTAGCTCTTCTCCCAGCCAGGTGTTAAGGGCAGGGGCAGCCCCGAGTCGGGACAACACCGAGAAAAAAACGACTCTCGTCATCCACGCTGCCGGCGGATGTCGCACCCAAGATCCTCTCTTTCCTCCTGTACTGCAGCATCTGCAAGCGGCGGCACAGCAACTCCAAAGCAGGCAAGCTCGCCAAGGTTCAACTCTTGCAGATGCTCTCGTGCTGGAGGATGCCGTTGTCGGATAGCTGCAGCTTGCAATTGGACGTCCAAGTGTTATGCATGGTGAGGGGCGAACCACCGATGTACTGTCTTACAGACTTTGCAGTTCTGGGGCCCTTTATCGGCCAATCACCTGTGAAATGCCGCGGCCAGCTCGCGGACATGCCCAAACTAGTCGCAACTATCGTGCGGGCACGG